TCTAGGGGAATGTTTTAAGTCGAAAGAATGGATATAGGGAGAGGGTTGGGTATAAACGACGAAGGACAACAAAGGTTGGAATGTGTAGGGAGCAACCAACTTATCACTACCCACCCTGTTCGATGCAATGGGCCTGATTACTCTGTGCGATGACCGATGCGGTATGAAACCATTTTTAGTTTGTGTATGCATTAGAGCTTGATGGACGGGTACTGACAAGGTTCCCGGCCACTAAGCAAAACGATTAGGGTCCTCGTCCAAAATGCTATCAAGAACCTGACTGCAAGGTAGCGGTTAAAGCAGAGGCCCGTTTGCTTGGAACGATTACTCCTTTACAATTTTACCGACTGAGATGCTAACCCAAGTCAAACCCCCAACTTGAAGGGCCAGGAGGCTGAACTTTACCTAACCTCTATTCTCTGACATTCATAAGATATCCTGGCTTGATAAAAGTCATCCTGTGTAGCTCGTTGGGTCATAGAGGTGAACAAGCCATCATACCACACCGAGGTGCAGTCTCTTTGTGATGGACTGAGTGAGTGGCATCAAACTGCAAGACAGCAATAAATAAATACGGAACCGGGAAGCACGATGTTCTTTTTAACAGCTGCACGAAGTATCCTAAACGACTGTTGGGACTAAGCGGAGAGACAAGAACGGATGAGTATATAACTGACTTATGTCTGACCGACATTCGGCAAGTCATAAACAATCACAGTGAGGGACTTTTGAATGTGATGTGACCAGTCATGTGGAGAACATGTAAAGAGAAGCCCTACAAATAACATAAGTGACGTGTATTTTGAACCAGAGGATCGTACACTGTGGTTCACGAATACCATGCAGGTTTAAGGTGTATTATTTTCATCTGATGATTGCGAGTACGTAGACTGACTCGACCGGGTGATTCGATTTTCAGGGTCAAAGTGCAGAATATGGGTGGCGGTGATTAAGTAGTTGAGATTAATGGCAATTTTGAGTAGCAGAGGACTTTTAGGTCGAAGGTTTCAATTTTGATACCGCAACCCAATAACAGCGGTAGATAGGTTTACGGTTGCCAGAAGCGATAACATGCCCATTCTGTGGAAGCTTTGAGCGGTCCTCGAAGTCGGGCAGTAATTTCTCATTATTATTAGGGTACCAAGGTAAAATCCCATATTTGGCACACTGGACGTGTGAACGGCGCCCGAGGACTATATGAACTGACCGGTTAAGCATTCGACCAAAATAGACTGGGACTTTCACGCGCCGCTCCGCAGTTTTGTTGATCAATATAATCAAAAGCTTCTGCAGTGGATCTCCGAGAAAATTAATTTGGTTGGCTTTGGGTAACCTTGGAATCTTTCGCCCTCAAGTAGATCGCACACAGATTTCTTGTAGTCGACCTACATAGATTACGTTGGCAGGGGTGTACGCTACGCATGTTACCAAAGAGGTTGTTAACGTGAGAGCTGTTTACCGAGGCAGGTTATGGGTGGAAAAAAAACAATTTTACACCACGGCCTGGAATAAGGGTATGAAAACCTTGATTAGGAGACTCGGTCAT